CTGAACCCCGACCGCTTCCCAGCTGACCGCTTCCCAGCTGCTGCCCCGTCTGTAGGCCTTACAGCTGCGGCACGTCGACCGTCAAGCGGCAAAGCGAACTGCCGAGAGGAGGAGGAGGAGGAGAAGGAGGAAGGAGGAGAAGAAGAAGAGGAGGAGGAAGAAGGGGAGGAGGAGGAGGAGAAGAAAAAGAGGAGGAGGAAGAAGGAGGAGGAGGAGGAGAGGAGAAGAGGGGGAGGAGGAGGGGGAGGAGGAGGGGAGGAGAGGAGGGGGAGGAGGGGAGGAGGAGGAGGAGGAGGGGGAGGAGGAGGAGGAGGGGGAGGAGGAGGAGGAGGAGGAGGGGGGGAGGAGGGGGAGGAGGAGGAGGAGGAGGGGGAGGAGGAGGAGGAGGAGGAGGAGGAGGAGGAGGAGGAGGAGGACGAGCTCCCTCTCGCGAGCTCCCTCTCGCGTCTCTTCCGTGCTTGGCCTCGGCGGGCGCCAGCTCCGCCCGCGCCGATCCCGGCCGAGCCCTGCGTGCACGCGCGCGCTTCCCTGGCCAACCCCTGGCCTCTCCTGTGCGCTCCTCCTACTCTTTTCCACCTCCTCCTCCTCCTTCCTCCTCCCCCCCCTCCCCTCCCCCTCCTCCTCTCCCTCCTCCTCCCTCCCCTTCTTTCTCCTCCTCCTCCTCCCTTCTTCCTCCTCCTCCTCTCTTTCTCCTCCTCCTCCTCCTCCTCCTCCACCTCCTCCTCCTCCTCCATCCCTTTCCTTCAGTCAAAATCTTCCTCGTCGCGCCATCCGGCGCGTCGGCAGAGCGGGGCTTGGCGCTTCGTCGGGGACTTCCCCACCGTTCATAACCCTGAAGCTTGACGTTCCAACAATTTGGGTTGCAGATGGGTGGCGGGTGGTTTTCAAAAGGTGGCTTTCGCCGTAGCGCCGCGCCCCTTCGACTTAACACCTTCCAACAATTGGAAGGACGGAGGGTGGAGGGGGGGTCCTGTTAGTAATGTGGCTCTTGCTTGAAACTTCCGCAGGACGTATGGCCAGCCGTGTAAGCATGTGCAACAAGCGGTTCTTTTCCCAAATGGGCCTTCAGGCTGAGGCATCCCAGATCTATGGCCGAATGTATACCATATCGCAGAAGTTACACGGATGGAGGGCGGCTCTTTCTCAAAACGGAGCTCTAGTGGGTCGCTTCCTTGAACTTTCTGTTTTTATCTCCTCACGCTCCTTACATCTAGAAGACTGACGCAACATGGTTCTTTTCAGAATTGCACTATCGCTTGCGTGAAAATTTCATGGCATGCTCATTTTTCAAGGGAGTTCTTTCCGTAATGGTACAGGGGGGGACTAGGGACGGTAGGGTGCATTGCAGCATCGTTGATGCATCCTTTGATTGTTCTGGCTCCTTCTGCTATTACATATTACGAGCGCTCTCTCCGCTCTGTTGCCAAAAGGCGTCCAACCAATATCCTGACTCTCACCCTGGATCCCCAGCGCGCCTCACACGATTTCTGCGTCGGAACGCCTTCGGTTCTTCGAAGCGGTGCTCCCGCTGCAACGCCTACGCCCGAGGACCGGTGCACTGGTTCCGTTGTTTGGAATGTAATGCTCTCGCCCTGTCGCGGGCCGCACTTGTGGATCCGAGTCCTTCCCCCCGTGCTGCCGTCCCCCTCTCCCGTGTTCTCTCCCTCGGCCCCCCCCCCCCCCGCAGATCCTCCCCTTCCTCCGAGTGTGAAGGAAGAGCCCCACCAGATGTGCAGCAAAGCGTGCGTGAACTCCCCCAATCCCGCAACTGCCAATGGGGGGTCGAGGTCTCTCGGGACACCCCACTCGGCGGATATAAACAATATTCAGCGTACGTCGTCGTTTTCCCTAGCGGTAATGCGTGTAGTGCATCGCTGACGCACGAGAAGCCTCTCACCTGGAGCGGCTGCCCGGAGGGAGCTCTACCACGAGGGTGGTTGAGCGGCACTTTAAATACAATCTGACTTGATACGTTTCGCACAACACTGGGCAAATAAACAATAATATTCAGCGTACTCAGAAAAAAAAAACATGGGCGGGAGAGGTAGGATGTCAGATGTGGCGCGAGCGCGCCTGGCTTGCCCGTCTCCTCTCTCCTCTGCCCTCTCCTCGCTGACCTCTCAGTCGTCCTTCTCCTCCTCTTTCGTGTCCTCCTCCTTCTACTTCCCCCTCCTCCTCCTCCTCCTCCTCCTCCTCCTTCCCTCCTCCTCCTCCTCCTCCTCCTCCTCCTCCTCCTCCATCCTTCTCCTGCGCCCTCCTCAGACTTCGTAAGCGGCCGCGCTCCCATTCCCGTTCCTCTCCGCATGCCTTATCCTCCTCCTGCTCACCCTCTTTCCTTCTCAGCCCTCCCTGTCCTCCCTTTCCTCCTCCTCCTCGCCCCCTCGCCCCCCATCACGTGCTCCCCTCGAGATGGCCCGTGGGCCGTCGGCAGGAGTTGCTCGGCAGGGAGGGGGAGAGGGAGAGAGAAAGAGAGAGAGAGAGATCTGAGGAGAGAGACACCCACGCACGCGTACAAACGAGGCAACTTGCGTACCACGTCGGGGAGCGGTGGGAGTGCGGCGAGCGAGAGGGCGGCGGGGACGAGGGGATCCTGGAGGAGGGGTCGAGGGAGGCGGGGAGGAGGGGACCGAGGGAGGCGGGGAGGAGGGGATCCTGGAGGAGGATCGAGGGAGGCGGGGGGACGAGGGGATCCTGGAGCAGGGGTCGAGGATCGAGGACTCGCAACTTCTGACGCTTCTGGCCCTCTCTGGGCCTCCGGAGACCTCTGCAGGCCTCCGGCTTGGAGGGGGCGCAGGGGGAGGGAGGGAAGCAGGAGGAAGGGGGGCGAGGGGCGCCAGTTTTTAAGCCGGGTCTGGCCTCAAGAACACGCAGTTCTCTCAGGCCGACTCGAGTACAGCGCCTGGGGAGGGTAGCAGCAGGCAGGGAGTAGCTTGCACCCTCTCTTCTCCGCAGCCTTTTTGATCAGGTTTTCAGCCCGGCAGGGGCGACGGTTCCACCTGAGCCAGGCCTGGCGCTTGAGAAAACCTTTTTTTCGTCAGCGGCGAGGCGGCGAACCCCGCTCCAGCGAGAAGCTGGATAGGGGCGCTGACTGGCGCATTGGCCTGCGAGCATCGAGGGAAGGGGGGAACGGCCGAGAGGAAGGCGCCTGAGAAAACATGCATCTCGGAGACTGGGAAAACTGGGTTGGTTGGCAGGATCCTCTCGGGCCAGATTTTCCGCCTGCCGGGCCGCAAGAGGACGGCCTCGGCGCACGTGCGGGCGGCGGGGAGCAGGCGGCTGGAAGGGGAAGAAGCCTGCCTGCGCTCCAGAGGCGAGCTCTTCTCTAGAGGCCTCCCAGATGGGGTCCGAGCAGAAGGGGTCGGAGCATCGCGCCGCATCGCCGACGACGACGCATCGGCGATGTCGGCGGTGCATCGTCCGCGCCAGCGCGAAGAAACTCGGGCTCCACATCGCGCCGCATCGCCGATGCACCGGCGATGCGGCGCGATCCCCCGACCCCATCTAGCCTCTAAAACGACGCGAAGATCGGGACAACATCGGATCGGGATAACTCGAAATCTCTGAGAATCGGCGGGTTTGGAGGACGCCTTGGGCGCCGCGGCCGCTCTCAGAGCGTTCCGGAACGCTCTGAGAGCGCTCCGGAACGCTCTGGAGCGATTTTATCCCGATCCTAGCCCTGTTCTAGCCTCGGACCCCCGCCGGGAGGCCCAGAGAGCGGAGCCACTGCGCGGCGAGGAGGAGGAGGAGGAGGAGGAGGAGGAGGAGGAGGAGGAGGAGGAGGAGGAGGAGGAGGAGGAGGAGGAGGAGGAGGAGGAGAGGAGGAGGCGGAAGGAGGAGGAGGGAGGAGGAGGAGGGGAGGAGGAGGAGGAGGAGGAGGAGGAGGAGGAGGCCCCGAGGCTGGCCCGCGAAGGGCAGCTGCCGAGAGGGCGAGGCTGCCCAGGCCCGGGAGCGCGCACCGCCCCGGAGAGGGGCCCCGGCGGCCCGCCGCTTCTTTTTTTCGCGCCGGGCGTCTTCTCGCCTTCGTCGTCGCGCCCCGGGAGCCTCACGAGTCCTCCTCCTCCTCCTCCTCCTCCTCCTCCTCCTCCTCCTCTCCTCCTCTTCCTCCTCCTCCTCCTCCCCCCCTCCTCCTCCTCCCTCCCCTCCCTCCTCCCCCTCCTCCTCCTCCTCCTCCTCCTCCTCCTCCTCCTCCTCCTCTCCTCCTCCTCCTCCTCCTCCTCCTCCTCCTCCTCCCCCTCTTAGGAAGGTGGGGTCCGGGGTCTTCGCCGTCGTCGCCTTCGTCGTCGCCGTCGTCGTCGTTGTCGTCGTCGTCGTCGTCGTCGTCGTCGTGAGTGGGCACAAGAAAGACTCTCAAACGCAAGTTCCCCCGAGAGGGTTCGAGGGTTTTCTAGCCGGGAGCCTCACGAGTCGATCCGGCTCGGAGCACGGCGCAGGAAGGTGGGGTCCGGGGTCTTGGTCGTGACTCTGCCGCGACGCTGCACCTTTGTCCGCAGCGTCGGGTCTCAGGGGCTGGTGGTCTCCTGCAGGGGAAGGTCCCCGTGGTTGCGTTCGCACGGCGCCACTGCGCCCATGTCGGCACACCGCTCACACGCTGCGTGGTCTGACAGGGAGCTCCGCCGAAGGCTCCAGTGGCTGCGTCCGCACGGCGCCACTGTCCCCATGTCGGCACACCCCTCGCACGTGTCGTGGCCCCATAAGGAGCTCCACCGAAGAGCCCTGTGGCTGTGTTCGCACGGCGCCACTGTGCCCATGCCGGCACACCATTTACACGTTTCGTGACTGGGGAGGCGGCTCTCACCCCGTGCTCTGCTTCCCCATCGGCTCCGTGACACCCACGAAGCACCAGCGGAACCCGAGCACCGATGGCACGGGCAACACACCCACGAGCGAAAGCGACAATGCGTATGCACCCCCCACCCCCCCTTCTCCTGGTCCGCCGTCCAGGACCCCTCAGCCCTTTCGCCCCTTACGACCCGTCGTCCCTCACCCCTTTTCCCCCCCCA